TACCTTCAGCTTCTTTAGCAAGGCAGTGATTCGTCTTGGTTGTGTGTTTGGGGTTGTTATTATATTGGAATACTGCCCTGTGGTCCAATCTCTGAAGGGAGGGAATCATGCTCTGCTTCAGTATGTCACAGTACATGTTGGCATTCATGGTTCCCTCAATGAACTGGGTAGCACTCATGCAGGCGCAGACCATGACTTGACTGTAGGCAAGATACACTTGTCTTTGTACTCCTCACCTGGTTGCTGCCACATACACTTGACACTATCCGAACCAAATAAGTTTAACTTGGTCTCATCAAACCACAGAACACAGAACCACAGTAATCCATGTCCCTAGTCTGCTTGTCTTCAGCAAACTGTTTGAGGGCTTTCATGTTCATGTGAAGAGGCTTCCTTCTGGGACGACAGCCATGCAGACCAATTTGATGCATTGTGTGGCATATGGTCTGAGCACTGACAGGCTTCCTTCTGGGATGACAGCCATGCAGATCATACATTGTAAAGTCATTTCTTCAGTGTTTAACATGAAAAGATATAATAAAATTATTTACAAAAATGTGAGGAGTGTACTCAATCTTGTGAGATACTGTATACATATTTTTAGGAATAAATTGTTAAGCACCCACACTGATGGCTCTACGAATTAAGCAAACTGTATTGGAGTTGTTCTAACATAGAATCTTTACTGTTCACAAATCTCACAATTCAAACTCTTATTTTTTTTTGAGAGAGAGGAGGAAGCTTTTAATAAAAGGTGTGTTAAGTATTTCCTTAGATGTATTTCAGTACCGAGGGCTACTTCAACTCTTTCAGATAGTAATATTCAAGTATTTACCAACAGTTCAATAGTTATATTTATGCCTAGTGCCTAATGTGGTAACATCTATCTGGGAATTAAACTAAAAAAAAACACATGCAGAGGTGTGTCATTTGTTTACTTTGTTTTTAATTGCAAGGCAAATATATTAATCTGCTAAGTAAAATCCACAATTTATTTTCAGAAATGCAATTTTTTCCTTTAGCAAACATTTGCTGCACAGTTAATTTTCCAGATAATGCAGGAAACACGGCTCTGCATTTTTCAGACAATTCCTAACAAACACTTAGGGACATATCCATATTTTTAATACACTTAGATCAGACTGTTTGCACACAAGCCATTAAATAGCTTGCATGCTTGGAAACCCTCTAGAGGAATATGATATGTAGGTCTGTCTGTGAGTGGAGCACAAACACATTCTGTATGTTAATAGAAAAATACCTCATATGTCCGGCAGACTTTGGCTTCTAAGGGCCTATTTGTTTAGAATTGATATTTAAACCAATATTAAAACATTAAATGTATTTCTTACAATCCATCATGGATTAGCTACAAGCAACATTATAAATCACCTAGAATTTGATCCATGGTAAGGACAAAAGAAAATCTTAAATTTACATTTGATTACGCACTTGAAATAGAATAAACATATCCCAGACTGATTGATGTAGTCAAGAAGGTTGACAAAGATCATCTAAAAAAAAAATTCTTATGTTTGTATTTTATAAAAAAAAAAGACTTCCAGAATAGTCTAAATGCCGAATTTACCAAAATTTGCTGCATATATTTAATGTCTTCTACTCGTGGTACAAACAAAAATGTTAGGTTGCATTGCGGTTTGTAGTATTCCTAGGTTGTAAGACATAAATCAGTTCCTCTAGCAGTCCTTAGTTGTCAATACTTATATGTCATTTCTTTGTTTTTTCTTCTGTATTATGCAGCATGTAGTGGTTACGTGTGTCCCAGAAAACATGATGGATCTAGCAGCCTTCCTTATAATCTATTTAATTTAGTTAAACGTTTATTCTATGAAAATCAACAAAACATAAGAGAATGTGTTATTGTTAATATTAGACATGTGAAGATGTCTAATATTAGAATAATAATAGATTGTAAATTAAGGGGCTCTTCTGGACTGGCGGGGGTGATCCCGGTCCTAACCCCAGAGGTCCACTCGCTTATGCTGCAAGCCACTGCAGTGGTGACATCGAACTTATTAAAATCCAGAACTCTCTGGTAATGGCGGACACCATGTGCGCTAAAGTTCCCAGCCATGACACTGTCGATAAGCTGGATCTTCTCTTTGCAAGGTTCTGGAGCATGTTGAAAAAGCGGATACACTCATCTACACACCATGTTCTGGGAAGCGGTTCCAGTAGGTGTCTGCCACCCAACGCCATAAGGAAGAGAGCGACAGCGATCCCTGCAAGAGCCAGTATCAAATGAAGGAAGAAGCTCTACCTGCCACATGGCAATAAAGCATCCAAACATGCCTCGGGCCTGGCTCTACATCCGGGACTATGTGCAACAACAAGCAATCAACCACAGCTTTCAGTACCTCAAAGCTTAACCCTTCTACTCACCGCAACAATGCCGCAGCAACTCCTCAGGGGAAGCAGTGGACTTTGTCTAAGGCTTCAGTGGGTGTACAAACCTCCCTTGAGTACAAACTGCCCTTGATGGGAATAGGCAGAGAGGGACTATCCCGCACTCACTCTACATCACGGCAAGCTGACCAGTTGCAACGGCTCACTATGTTTCTTTGGCTTATTCTGTTTTTGTTTCCCACCTTTTATTAATATGCCGCAATGATTATGTATGCACCTTTCAATATGCTCCGTGGTTGGCCAGAGGTCAGGCAGTACTGAAGAACTTTTTAGTGGAGAATATCTACCTGAGGTGAGTGACCTGCAACAACTAATCAACAGAATGTGTACAGAAGCAGAGAAAATGTTAGTATAAAACAGTTTTATAATGTTCACCAACTGATGAAAGTTATCACCATTTTTTTGTAAAAGGTTGAGTCCAATGAAAAAGATTACGGAGTATGAAAATTGTAAATTATGAGAGGAACATGACAAGTCAACATTAAAATAGAAGATAGAGGGAAGGCTTGGATAAGATCAGTAAACAACTGCCCCACATAGACCTTTTTGGTGAAAAATGCATACATGGGTGTGAGGATAGCTAGTGGACATAGTTTACATCTTTTACAACAATGAGCGCTGGTATATTGATAAGCAAGTTGTAAAATTTAGATTGGACTAACAGCTGGTAGAAACAAGCTGAAGTCACGAGTGGCTAAGTTTTCTTCAAAATTGTAAATATTGAAATTCTGAAAAATGTAACATTTTCTAACACGTTTTCTTTAAGCTATGAGGCTGTACACTGTGATAGCTAGAAAAAGATGAGTTCTTGAAAACATCGATGTTGAAGTACTGCCCTAGCAAAAAGTTCATTGCTCACAAACCCACTTTTAAACAGCTCTTTTGGCCTTCTGATCTCATCAGTTTAAAGCTGGATCTCTGCTACTGCAGAGGGAGTTTAGTAATAGTCCAGTATACACTCTGTACAGGTCTAAAATCATCCACAACTGTTTGATAAAAGGGAATGGCATTACAAATATCTCTGACCTAAACCTCCAACAGTCAGAACGTGATTTTTAACTTGTTTGACTGTTTCAAGAATCAAATCTCTTAAAGTAAAAAGCTGAGCAATCTGCCAACGTCCAGACTTTCAAATAAAATTCAAGTGCCATGAGTGAGATCATTACGTTTCTCCCAAGCCCTGTGGAGCTGTTTGTTTATAGGAGAAATGTCGAGACACGTTCAGCACCATGGCCAGAGATCAAGCAAGATTTACTACTAGATAGAAAATACTTCTCAGTCTGTCTTTCTTCCTGGCCATGGCCGGCCTCATATTATTTATCAGGTTTGTACAATGGGTGAAAAAAAAAAAACCACAAGAAATTAATTGGTGTCATATTTAAGCATACAGGAGTTAAAAAAAATAAAAAATAAAAATCTCCCCTTATGGCAGTATTAGTCTCCTTCTCTAAGTGAACTGACACCTTTATATCTAGGGACAATGTATTGCTTTATCTTGTAGAAAGGACATGATAGTGATGTAAAGTCTAGCTGAGCATGTTGGAAAGTGTAGTTTGGACACACAAAGCTTAACCAGTAATATTCATTAGAAAAATGTTCCTGCTGGTTAAGCACTGTCCTTAAGGGGTTACTCCAACTACCATTAACCCTTCAACTTGAAATTCTGCACATCCAGAGATATTTGCACTTGTGTCCCAGGGGCTAGTTACACCCCTGGCACACATGACTTTGGCTGCCTGAAACTCTGTTCCAGACAGCCAATGTCAATTCTGTGCAAAATAAGACACTGCACATTGGCAATGGATGCAGCATTCACCTCCCCTCCTTACCCCCAAGCTTAAAGTTCCCCCATTTTTTTTCATGTTTTTTTTTTTTAAAGGTCCACCCCCACCCACTCCCCCACTGCCCCCCTTTATGACTCAGATCGTGTTCATGTGCTCTGAATAGGTAAAATGGTGCAATCAAATGCTTCTCTACGAGAAACATTTGATGAAACCAAGATGCCAGGATGGGCTGTCAGACAGGGTGTTGAAAAATTCACTGTTTAATTCTAACTCAACCCTTTTAGTGCTGCCAACAGAGATGTGGTACTGAAATAAAACATTCATAAACACACAAATAACATTGTAGCAAAGTGTAATTTCTACATTGTTGTCAAATTAAAAGATATAATAAAGGGGGGGGGGAGGGTGCTGAACTGCATGGCAGCTGGACACGTTCTGCAGGAGCTCGCTCCAAGCTTAGCCACTGAATTTCTCATGCTTTATGCCCCCTAGGGTTCTTATTTCTTGGCTGTTTGTGCCTTACTGACACCCTGCAACGACAGGGCTCCTGTAGGGCTACTAATGTCTGGCCTACCTATACAAGCTACAGAGGACGTGGCATGGCCTAGTGCAGCTGCTGGGCTGGATAGGTGGCCGCTTTCCCGCCCTGATGGACACTGGACTTCCGCCAAATATCATTGCTGCCCGCCCCCCCCTTTTAGACTGGCAGGGGTGATCCCAGTCCTAACCTCAGAGGCCCACTCACTTACCCTGCAAGCCACTGATACTAAAATCCGGAACTCTCTGGTAATGGCGGACACCATGTGTGCTAAAGCTCCCAGCTATGACACAGCCGATACCCTTACTAAGCTGTATTTTCTCTTCGCAAGGTTCTGGAGCATGCTGAATGAGCGGATACAATCATCTACACACCATGTGCTGGCAAGCAGTTCCAATAGGCATCTGCCACCCAGCGCCACGAGGAAGAGAGCGTCAGCAATCCCTGCAAGAGCCAGGACCAAACGGAGGAAGAAGACCTACCCCATGACAAGAAAGCATCCAAACATGCCTCAGGCCTGGGCCCAAAGGCTCTACACCCAGGACTATGCACAACAACAAGAAATCAACCACAGCTTTCAGTACCTCAAGGCTTAACCCTTCTCCTCACCGCAACAATGCCACAGCAACTCCTCAGGGGAAGTAGTGGACTTTGTCTAAGGATTCAGTGGGTGTACAAACTGCCCTTGATGGGAATAGGCTGAGAGAGACTATCCCGCGTTCACACTACATCACGGCAAGATGACCAGTTGCAACGGCTCACTATGTTTCTTTGGCTTATTCTGTTTTTGTTTCCCACCTTTTATTAATATGCTGCAATGATTATGTATGCACCTTTCAATATGCTCCATGGTAGACTGCCACTAGCCTGACACAGGGCCTCCCGGGTAGGCACAAGCACACTTATCTAAACCGATATGCTTGTATGTTAAAGGCTTGTACTACTTAATCGCTCATAGTCCTGGGCAACACAGCTCACTTACCAGTCTCCCTGTCTTCACACTCATTTGCCTCAGGACTTACCTTATCATGTCCTCATCACATACTTATTATAACAAAATAAGTGCAGTATTAGTCAGTGACATATTTGGCTACCCTTCTATGTAATCCTACTCTTGTGTTATATATCTGAACCTGCTTGTACAGTCATCTTGCACTGCAAAAAAAAAAAAGATATAATAAAATATTTACAAACATGTGAGGGGTGTACTCACTTTTGAGAGATACTGTACATGTGCTAGCTTTCATTTTACATTGTCACTATTTTAGCATATAACACCACACTCACTTTTCTCTTGGTTTTTGTACTTGTGTTCACTCTGTAAAGAATCACATTTTCCTGTCATTTTAAATGTATACTGGAACCAGAAAGATTAAAAGATAGAAAATTATGGATAGTTTGAATTGTGAATACTGACTAATATGGTTGGCCAGTAGTGATGTCGCGAACACGAAATTTTCGGTTCGCGAACGCGAACTTCCGCAAATGTTCGCGAACCGGCGAACCGGGCGAACCGCCATAGACTTCAATGGGCAGGCGAATTTTAAAACACACAGGGACTCTTTCTGGCCACAATAGTGATGGAAAAGTTGTTTCAAGGGGACTAACACCTGGACTGTGGCATGCCGGAGGGGGATCCATGGCAAAACTCCCATGGAAAATTACACAGTTGATGCAGAGTCTGGTTTTAATCCATAAAGGGCAGAAATCACCTAACATTCCTAAATCACAATCAATATGGATTGACACCCGACATATGACATATTGACACCTTGACATATGGATTGACACCTGTCCCCTGATACACACTGACACAGAGCAGAATAGAGACTGTTCCCCCTACATAGGGTCACTTGGCAGATATGGATTGACACCTGTCCTCAGAGACCATGATACACACTGACACAGAGCAGAATAGAGACTGTTCTCCTACATAGGGTCACTTGGCAGATATGGATTGACACCTGTCCTCAGAGCCCCTGATACACACTGACACAGAGCAGAATAGAGACTGTTCCTCCTACATAGGGTCACTTGGCAGATATGGATTGACACCTGTCCTCAGAGAACATGATACACACTGACACAGAGCAGAATAGAGACTGTTCCCCCTACATAGGGTCACTTGGCAGATATGGATTGACACCTGTCCTCAGAGACCATGATACACACTGACACAGAGCAGAATAGAGACTGTTCCTCCTACATAGGGTCACTTGGCAGATATGGATTGACACCTGTCCTCAGAGCCCCTTGTGACGAAATGCCTTTTGTCCCTGGATTGTTAGGTGACAAGCTGCCCTTTGCCCCCGGCTTTTGGAGGAGCCTGATTGCCAGCCTCCTTCCTCATGACTATGGCCCTGGGGTGTATTGCCATTTAAAAAGACTATTTGGGGCTTATTGGCTTCTAAAGACAGTTTCTTCCCATTGGAATCCATGGGAAGGTGTGTTTCTTCCCCTCCCCTGTTTCCTGTCTATTGTTCTCCAGCAGGGCGTTGTCCCAGGGACACTGCCAGACCAGTGGGAACTGGTTTGGGCAGGAAAAGCCATGCTTCCTTTGGTCACAAAGGACTTCTAACTAACTTTTGAACTAATGGAAGGATTTGCATGATTTTTGGGTATGTTTGTATTTGGGATGTGCTGATTAATAATTGACTTTTATTAATATTGGATGTATGGTTTTAGAGTTATGAAAGTTGGGTAAAAAGTGTGTTTTAAAATGTATTGATAATTGGGTTACTTCTCAGGCTAAGGGGAGGAGATGTGTGGGATGTAACCATTGTGTGATTGGGTAATGTACCTTCATGCAGTTTTGGCTCATGTTTGGGGGATTGGAGAAACTACACTCTGGGGATTGCTATAATCACTATACTCCCCAGGGTATAATCACTAAGCTCTGCTAAGAGCTTGTTCCTGTTCCTGCTCTCTGGAATTTGGAGAGGTCGACCTACTGAAAGCTGGACCCTGGTCTTGGGTCCAGAGTGGGTGGAGACAGCGAGACCCCAACCAAGCTGCGGCGGTTCGTGGGGTCTGCAGTGGTTATGGTGTCAGGCAGAGTGCTTGGAGTCCTCGGAAAGCACTAGGAGCATCTGTCGGCGGAAGGTACCCGGTCGGGGTGCCAGCGGTTCCGTCACAGTGGTGGCAGCGGTGGGATGGCGTCCTAGTGCGAGGAGAAGCAGCGCAGAGGCACCAGTAATGTTTGGAATTACAATTTGAGGGCAGCGCTAGTATTCGTACAGCGCCCCTGGTCACAGCAAACATGACCTATCGCTTTGAGGGTGCCGCTTACAGGGAGGAGGCAAAGAGGAGGTTAACCAGGTATGGCCCGGATCCCTCGTTAGAGACGATCCTGGCAACCATGCGCAAGTTGGATGAGGAGAATCGAGCGGCATGGGAATTTGAGCTCCGATTGCGGAGATTGGGGCTGTGGCCAATTGATCTCTCTCCCCAGCGGCAGACAGCATCCCAGAGAGAGGAGATTGTCGATCCCTCTTCCCTGCAACAACTATCATCACTGGGAGTTGAGACAGTAGCTCTGACTCCCCAGCGGCAGTGTGTTGTCAAGGGAGAAGAGACAACCGGTCGCTCTCCCCAGCGGCAGTGCAAGTTACAGGGAGCCGAAGGTGTCGCCCTTCCTCCCCAGCGGCAGTGTGAATTCCAGGGGGCCGAAGGTGTCGTCCATCCCCCCCCAGCAGCAGTGTGTCCTACCGGGAGCAGAGACAGTTGGTCTCTCTCTCCAGCAGCAGGACAATGTTATGGGAGTGGAGACAGGCGGTCTCCCTCTCCAGCGGCAGACTGTGTTTCAGGGAGAGGAGCACAGCACCCTATCTCCCCAGCGGCAGCTTACCCTACAAAGGGGAGACACCAATCTCCCAGATGGCGCAGAGGGGACCATGGTCTCCGTGCCCGACCTACAGGGAGGCTGGACATCCTGTCCAGATCCCCAACTACCCTCACAGGGACAACAGGAGGAGGGGGTAAGTACGAATTCCCCTCCCCAGCTATCTCCTAACTTGGCCCCAGGGTTAACAGAGGAGATGTTAACCCCCACTGACTCCCATGTTCTCCTGGCTACTGAGCCGGACTATGTTCCCAGCACCCCAGCAGAAGAGCTGACAGCTGGGCAGAGTGCAGTCGGCCTCTGCCCTCCCTGTGTCCCTTGTCCAGAGCCTGATGTCCTGCAGCCTATACCAGCGGAAGAGCTGGCAGCTGGGCAGAGTGCAGTTGGCCTCTGCCCTCCCTTTGACCCTTGTACAGAGCTTGACATTCTGCCGGCTATCCCAGCGCAAGAGCTGACATCAGGGCAGAATAGAGACTGTTCCCCCTACATAGGGTAACTTGGCAGATATGGATTGACACCTGTCCTCAGAGAACATGATACACACTGACACAGAGCAGAATAGAGACTGTTCCTCCTACATAGGGTCACTTGGCAGATATGGATTGACTGTTCCCCCTACATACACACAATTGGATCTCACAAAACTTACCAAGGATCTCAATCATGTTCCCGTATCGTACATGAAAAACCTACTCATACAAAATCTCTTCCCAAACGTCATTTCGTTCAAAGTGGAGAGAATGTTAAAAAAAATATATTTTTGTTCTGAGTGTGAGAAATGCTTTTCAGCTGCTTCTAATCTTAAGCATCATTTGAGGAGCCATACAGGAGAGAAACCTTATTTTTGTTCTGATTGTGGGAAATATTTCTCTCAAAGAGGCCACTTTTATATTCAATCTATAACAGTGAAAAAAGTTTTTTGTTTTTAAATGCA